TAAATCCTTACATTGTCCTATCAAGATTATGATTAGGGTTGACCTTGTTTTGTAACGTTTGGAAACACATATTCTTGAAAAGTTCTGAACAAGATCCTGATTGAATCTTTGCAGGAATAGTTAGTTTCTTATGTTGACTGATCCTGTTATTTTCTTGTTAAAATCCTGATCTGATCTGGTTATCACCCCTGACAGGATTCTGATTCGAGAATTTGACCAAGATCCTTACAAGAACCTGTGATAAATTTTTTTCAAAATCCTCTCTCATAATCTTGTGAGGATCCTCTATACGATCCTGAGAAAATCCTGATAGGAACCTGAAATCTCGACTCAGAAAAATATCCGAGCAGGAACTTGAAAAAATCCTACATAGGATCTTGTTTCACCTCGACAAATTCTGGAAACAGGAATTTCTAGGATTCGAGACAGGATCCTAAATAAAACTTAGCAGGATCCTTGAGATTCAGGATCCTGACAGATCCTTTCAGGGTTTCTCAAGGAATGAACAGGATTGAAACTAGGGAATAGTTGTTGTTGAGTCCGAGAAGTAGAGAGAAAAGAGGGAATATTCATGCGAAGTGAGGAAATGTGTATGCGAAAAAGCATTGTCTAAGTGTCTTTGTAGAAATAAAATGTTGTGCTCCCAACGATTTTAACTTCTCTAGTAACTTCTGAATGTTTCCAACACATCTATTCACGGTTGGTTTCAATGATATTTTATTTGTCCACGTGAATTCTAGATATTTAAATTATTTTACTAGGGTGTGTGTGGGTGTGTTATGACGAACTGGGAGAGGAGCTCTATCACCACCCTCGATAATGATGTTTGTTGAGCTACTTCACTACTACAGTTGTTTCTGTATTACTAAGAATTCATCCTTATATGCTAGTGACACAAAAGAAGAGGAAGAAAAACACACATTATCAAGGTCAACATTAAAAAAAAAAGTCGTGCTGAACAGAGAAGAGAAGTGAAGTGAAATGAAGTGTAACGGTCAATAACTGTTACAGGGTGGTGTGGGTGTTGGTCCTTCCATGAACTATTGTCTCATCCACACATACATCCCTAATGTGATCCAGTAATACGAAGTTTCAACGAAGATATTGATGAAATATCAGATGAAAATTGTCGATCAATGGAAGAATCATCGATCGCAACGATCACATGTCGAATATTCCATGTACATCGAAACACGCGAACTAATCCGAAAAAGTTCAACTGTAAATTACCAATCGATCGATACTCGATTGATTTAGATCGAATGATAGGTATCATGAATCCATCATCGTACGAAAGATTGCAGTCTATTGTCTATTTCAAAGTAGACGAAGGGGGAATGTTTTTTGAATAACTTTCTCCCAGGAACAAGATAGAGACCTGCAGTTTTCACCTTTGGAAAGAGGAGATCAAGGCGCATCAAACCATATAATGCATACTGTTTCTGAGAAGTTTTACATGGATAGTCTGCAACAGTTTTCAAACGCCAATACTTTGCGTAAGGTCGCTGAAGTGAATTTTCAATTTTCTGGAGTGTATCTGAATCGCCAACCACGAGCCTACAAAACTACGCAAGGCCGAAAATTTTAGCTTGAAGCACTTAGAAGTTGTGAGCATTTTACCAAAGGCTTTCTAGCCGATTTTTTGCGAATGCTGATCTTCTGATTATCATTTTCTGATGTTTAGAAACCTATTTTTGGCTCTGCGAAATAGAATGGCAACTTTTTTGTCCTTTTTGAACTTGAAATTTGAATGAACTGACTTGTGCATCATTTTCTTAACGATTTAGTCACGCTATTTTCTGCACCCATTAGGATTTTCAGCTTGTCAGATATTTTTTAGCATTCTCCAGAGTGACTATGTGTGCGAGCGACACCTTCAGTTCAATTGAAACTATTCTCTAATCAAATGGTCAGTTAAGAAGGAAACATGTGGAAACTATATCACACAATCACGTGTGATCTACTACTAAAATTGATCACAACGTGTTTGAACACTCATATATTACCATTGGACGGATATTTGTATCTTAGTGAAGGAATTTCCACATTTTCGTGATTCTCTTTACTTACTCTGTTTGAAGGTGTCTTAGCCACCAAGGGTGTGTGGATATGGTGTGGGTCAATGTAGGTGTGGGTGTGAGAGTGGGTGCGTGAGTGGAAGTGGCGTGTGGCACATGGGTTTGAGTGTCGGTGTTGATCTACTCTACACAAAACTCCACACTCACACCCACATCTGCCCACACCCACATCCACCCACACCCACACCCAAGATAATATCTGAGCTGAATTTCAGGTTGTACTGAAACTCATGAACACGAACCCTTTTAGAATTTTTCTAGTGTAACCGAAACTTACTTATGGGTTCAATATGAATTTAAATGGCAGATTATAGCTGCGGTAATGATCTCGTAAGATATATATATATATAATCGAATAAGTCCGGCAATTATTTCTTATTTCATTCCGTCATTGACTTATTCAGTCTTGTTTTCTTTCTCATGTATGTTTTATGATATCTCATTGTAGTCATTTTGTAGGTAATTGTAAAAGTACTGATATATAAGATCATCTGTTGATTTTTGAAATTACATCTTGCTCTTTTTTTTAATTTTTATTTTCAATCATGTCTTCTAACGAAAGTGGTACATGTTTTGTTGTATTTGTGCTATTAATTTTACTATTATTTGTCGTTATTGTTATTGTTTCATGAACTATTGATTCTCATTCTTCAATATCATTATCAATCAGTCAAACCTTTGTTTATTTGTACTTTTATGTTGTTTTAATTTACGAACTTGACCATATAAACCTGTATCTAATATTTGATTTGACAGATCTTTTCTAGGATTTTGTTCAATAAGATCATGTGGTAAAAATGCTTGATCAATCCATGAATGATTATCATTTCGATTTGTCCAATTTGTAAAATAATAATTCATCTAGAAATAAATCAATTCGGTTTTGTTTCCTTTTTAACTAACAGAACAGTAAGAAAAAGGAAAAACAAGACCGGTATGAACTGTTGTACCTATTGTTATGACTGGATAAGCAACAAGAAGATGACGTTAATCATAGATCTCACAATACCCATAGAATTCATTTTGGCGTATTATCCCTAGGGAACGACTTCGATACACTAACATATAACTATATGTTATCAGTTGAGGAATTTGAGTTGTTTTGGGTTAATGACTTTTTGGGTATCGACTTTAGTTATCCTCATGGGTATCGAATTGGATACCCACAAAAGTGATTACCCCAAAACAACTCAAATTCCTCAACTCAACATATAGTTCTATGTCAGGATATCGAAGTCGTTACCCCAAGAATAATACAGCGAATGTGTGTGAGATTTTTGGTATGCTCCGAAGAATACTCGGTAGGTTTGGATGGAGAAAAAGTCGCTACATGGTGTAACGGGATTATGCCATCACTCAATTTCTATGTTCACATATATATGTTCCTTGTTAAGTACCTAAAACTAAACGTACTGATGTAATAGAAATATGAATTGATAAACCGAGTAATGAACATTTTGAATGTGCTGGCATATCATCCTTGTCTTCATTGAAATGCTCATAAGAATTATCTCTCGGTACAAGTGTATTCAAGATTGTTTTCATATCAACACGTACATCAGGTATAGCATTTTCATTAATGGATAATGATACACTTATGTGTTGAATAAATGAATTTCATTTTGTATTATTTCAAGCACTTGTTGTAAAATTTTGTTTGTTACTAAATAAAAACTATTTGTTGTGCTGATAATGTTAGAACTTTTTGATACCATGTTATCTTGAAATTAAAGATAAATTTATAGAATTTAGCCTAGAAAAGAAAACCTTCTTCGTATGCACATCCAGATGATCGTAAAAACACGTACAATTGAACCGAAACCAGAAACTGCAAGAACTTTTAATAAAATAAATAAAAAAATTTTTGCTTTTCGAAATATACTAAAACACCTTTTGGATTTTATAAATCTTTATAAACCTATTTCATTAGTGTATCACATAATGGTACAGATATGAATTGACAGCATCTGGCATTTCAGTTGGTTTTATTTTTATCATTGTTAGTAATACGATATGAGCTGCTTTTTTTCCTACAAAAAATACTTATGTATTTAATTAAAATTATTTGTATTATCGATTGAATTATAAAACCATGAGATGCATTGTATTTTGAAATAGATTTTTCATAATTAAAATAATTTTTTTCCACGCAAAAATAGATTTATACGCTTTCCAATGTTTCACATTTTCTGACCAAGTGATTTGCACTAAAATGAAAACAAAAGAGATCAATCAATAGAAAACTTCAAGTTCTATCCGTTTCTAAAAAAAAATGTTTATGTTCTCGCTGCTGATTTTTTCTTCAAAACTTGATTTTATTGAGAATAGGCAAAGCACATGAAAAAGTGAAATCTTTCAAATTCCATCACATTTCACTCATATTTAGTAGCTAAAAAGTTTTGAAACGTCTCATTTTAAAGGCAATTATATTCTCTACAAGTCTACTTTCAAAAAATTCAAAAATGAATATGGATTAGAAAAAAGTGGTATTTACTTTAGTAGTACATCACAGTTTGAAATTGAACGTTTTTTTTTCATAAATCAAAAAAAATTGCACAAGATGGAGTACATTAAATTTCAAGTAAGATGTGAGTGTTTCTTGCCTGAACCGTCATCCACACTCGGTTCACTTTATATGACCGCAAACATCTAAGTTGATTGAGTTGAAAAACTTTGTTTAATATGTGTCATGTATGTCTGGTGATAAGAAAGAGAAAAAGAGATGAGTAATATTGTATAAGAACAGAACAAAATCAGTAGCGTGACGAGTTTATTTTACGTAGTCTATTAACGTCATAAGAAAAAAGATACTTTCTTTGTATGCCTAATCACGTTGCACGTTGAAAAAAAAACAGTCACTTCCTTTCAATGATATATGAATACGTCATATAGTCGATTAACTAGCATATATAAACATTGTCACTCTTTCTAGTAGTCCCATTTTAAGTGGTTAGTATAGTCACATAAAAAGACGGCCGTACTTACTTCTTTCTACTTTGTTTACTCATTGTCAAATGAGTAGGACTTGATGTTCCTTTGTTTTTCTGATATGAATCTTGCACATTTCGATTTCGTATATATTCAATAATGAGATTAATTTTAATAAATCTCTATTATTAGTACTGAAACTTATAGTGTTCGAAATGCTCGAGTTACAGAAAATCACACTTCAAAATGTGTACTTCTTAGTTTTTATATGCCCTCGAACAAATTTCCAAAGCGATTTCAGACAATTTTCAAAAATGTAATTTTATCATGAGGGTAAAATGTTGAAGATTTCTGTGATTGTTCCTCTAATAGACTCCTTTTTTTGAGTGAATTTTTTTCTGAGCGCCATTTTTTAATGAATTGGGCACTCACAAATTTTTATTTTCGTGAAAATCTAGAATTTTTTGACATTTTAGTTGCATAACTACCTTAATTACTTGTACTGTCAATTACAAAATATTTTATTATTCTGAAAAAGTCAACGAAGATGATGAACAGAACAAACAACAAAGAAGACATCACTCTAATTTGGTTCGATTCAAAGATGGAATCTAATAATTATGTAGAAGAGACAAAGAAACAACTACGTCAAATCAATGATTATGTTGTATTCTACACTGAACTCGAATCTTGCATTGCATTCATTGAATTGATTCATGATGAAAAAATCTTACTTATCATTTCGATTTCGGATTCAATAAAAATCTTACCTCATATTGAAGGTTTATCTCAAATTGACAGTATCTTTGTCTTCAATTGGGAAAAACTTGGTCATGAACATTTAGTTGTTAAACATTCAAAACTAATTGGCATCCATAATGATCTCGATTTGTTGTGTTTTTCCATCGAAGAACAAATCGATTTTCTTGAAAGACATTTACAAACATTTAGCTTCTTCGATCAAGATGAATACTTGACAAAAGATCTATCAAAACAAACCGCTGATCTTCTTTGGTTTCAACTTTATCATGATATTCTCTTTGAGTTAATACACGATGAAGAAGCTAAACAAGAAATGATCGATGCATGTCGTTCCTACTATCGAGACAATATCAAAGAATTAAACACGATTAAGAAGTTTGAAAATAAATATCGATCAGAGGAAGCACTTCGATGGTATTTGAAAAAATCATTTCTCTCCAAAATCATTAATAAAGCACTGAAAATCAAAGATTTCGATCAGCTCTACACATTTCGATATTTTATGAAAGATCTAACGGAATGTCTCGTTAGAGAACATCAAAAACTGATTCAATCTGGTAAAGAAAAATTAATTGTCTATCGAGGAATGAAGTTGCCACGAGATCAAATCGAAAAATTGAAAGAAAGCGAAGGTCAATTGTTTTCAATCAATGGTATTTTCACAACAAGTAGTCTTCGTTCAACTGCATTGAATCAAATGATGACACATTCGAAACAAACTAATCTTTGTTCTGTTCTCTTAGAAATTCAATGCGATATGAAAGATCTGAGCAACAATGTCATTATTGCTGATCTATGTGAAGAAGAACAAGAAACTCTGTTCAATTCAAATATCACTTTTCGATTGGAGAGTATGAGAATGGAGGAAGAAATTTGCTTGATTCAAATGACTGTTTCGAATGAAGGTCAAATTATTAAAGAAAAATACATTAAAGACTCTCGTCGTCAAATAAAAGATCTCAGTATTAATATTCTCTTTGGACGATTGATGTGTGATATGGGTCTATGGAATCAATCACAACATTTCTTAGAACGTTTATTGAACAGCACGAATAGCAATAATGAAGATCTTGCAAAGATTGAATATAGTCTTGGTGATGTGCATCAGTGGAAAGGAGAATGGAAAGAAGCACGAAAATATTACGATTGGGCTCATGATAGAATAAAAAATATCAAACCACTACGGATCCAAGATTCCGTTTATATACTCTTTAATATTGGTGAGATTCTCTATCTAGAAGGAAAGCATGGTGAAGCTCGTGATTATTATGAAAGAGCATTGACTATTCTGAAAACAAATTATTCTTCTATCACGGTCGATACACCTTCTTCATTAAATCATCAACTCAACGGTGTACTGAGTCGTGTTCCCTCATCGTTCTTGCCGATTTTATCGAGTTTGGGTGGATTCTTTCAATCTTGCTTCAGATGGTTTTGCGCTGGAAAAATTCTCGAAATTATTTATTGGTTCCGTCCAAAATATGCAGCAAACCGAATCGAACTTGTTGACAAACAGTCAAGTCAAACTCAGCTACAAGAAATATGCCGACACATACGAGAAGTAGATTGGTTACAAACGAGAGAAGCTAATGCAGAGGATAATTTGCTTATTGCTACTATTCTCCACAGTTTTGGCCAGATCTTTGACCGACAAGAAAGACATGAACAAGCACTTTGCTATCATCAACAAGCACTGACAATGTTCGAGAAATATTATCGATTTCCTCATATCGATATTGCTGTTAGTCTTTACTATGTTGGTGCAATTTTTAAATGTCAAAAAAAATATGATCAAGCGCTTGATTTCTATCAACGAGCAATGTCAATCTATAGTAGATATTATCCAAATGGTCATGTATACATTGCTTTGACCCTCAGCGACATCGGTCACATTTTATACCTTCAAGGTAAGCATGATAAATCTCTAAAGATTTTTGAACAAGTATTACCAATGCTACAAAAATATTATCCATCGGGTCATATCAATACAGTTGGTAGTCTTTGCGGGATAGGAAATGTTCACTATGGACAAGGAAAATATGATAAAGCTCTAATATGTCATGAACAAGTGTTGGAAATTTTACAGAAATATTATTTTTCGGGTCATGACGACATTATTGGTACTCTAAACAATATTGGTTATATAAAAAGGGAGCAAGGAAACTATGATGAAGCTCTCGATTTTCACCGACGAGCATTGGAAATGCAAGAGAAATATTACCCATCTTATTATGCTAGCATTGCTACCACTCTCAACAACATTTCTAATGTACTACTTTGTCAATTAAAATATGATGAAGCTCTAGGCTATTGTCAACGAGCGTTAACGATGCAAGACAGCTATTATCCTTCGGGTCATGTTTCTATGGCTTCGAGTCTCGGTAACATTGGTAACATTCTATATGAACAAGAAAAATATAATGACGCTTTGGATTTTCATCAACGAGCACTCACTACTATCGAAAAACATACACCATCTGATTATTCTTCTATTGCTTTTTACATGAACAACATCGGAATTATATTATGCAAGCAAGAAAAGCATGATGAAGCTCTTGACTATCATCGACGAGCACTCGACATGCAAGAAAAATATTGTTCATCGAACCAAAGTGATATTGCTAACAATTTCAATTACATTGGTAATGTTCTTATTGCACAGGAGAAATACGATGAAGCCTTGAAGTCATATCAACGTACACTTGAAATACAAAAGAACTATTATCCAAACGATCATATGAACATGACGATGACCCTAAATAATATTGGCAAAACATTTCAAAAACAACAAAAAATCGATGAAGCAATTGAATACTATCAAAAAGCATTAGAAATTCAAAATAAATATTATCCATCAGGTAGTATCGTCATAGCTAATACCATCAATCGTATCGGTCATTTTCTGTACAATGGACAGAAATATGATGCAGCAATTTACTATTATCGACGTGCACTTTCGATGCAAGAAAATCTCTATCCTGATGATTATATTGAAATTTCTCATACTCTCAGCTTCATTGGTAACACTCTATATGAACAAAAAAAGTACGATGAAGCTCTTCAAGTTCATCATAAAGCATTGGCTATTCAACAAAAACATCATGAATTTCCATATGTCGACATTGCGAATACTCTGAGTCGTATTGGTGATATTCTAGATTGGCAAAAAAAATATGATGAAGCTATTGAATTCTATCAAAGAGCATTAACAGTTCGAGAGAAATTCGATGCAACTAATCATGTTGGTATTGTTAATTGTATGAAAAATATTGCCAACATCCTAACCGATCAAGAAAAGTACAAAGAAGCAATTGAGTTTCAACAAAGAGCATTGATAATTCAAGAAGAAAAATATTCGTCTTGTCATGAGGAAATTGCAACAAGTCTGATTCATATTGGTAACATTCATTTTGATCATAGAAAATACAATTTAGCCGTCGACCATTATAGACGAGCTTTAGTCATTCTTGAAAAGTGTTATCCATCGGGTCATGTTGATATTGGTAAGTGCCAGGCATGTCTTGGTATCACGCTATATAAGCAAGCAAAATATGATGAAGCTTTCGATTTCTGTCAACGAGCCATAACAATCTATGAGCAATATTATCCATCTGGTCATGTAAATCTTGCAAATTGTCAAGGTTCCATTGGTAATATATTGAGCGATCAAGGAAAATATGATGAAGCTCTTGATTTTTATCACCGAGCACTGACATTTTACAAGAAAGATCCATTGAATCATTCGAATACAATTACTTGTCTGAACAATATAGCTAGGACTTTAAAAGATCAAGGACAATATGATGAGGCTGTCGATTTTCAACAGCAAGCATTGACAATGCTTAAAAGTGACACACCTAATGATCAGTTCAAAATCGCTATCAATCTCAAAGAAATCGCTGTTACACTATTTCAGCAAACAAAATATGATGAATCTCTCGACTTTTGTCAACAAGCATTAATCATACTAGAAGAATATTGTCCCAATGATCATATTGAAATTAGTATTTGCCTATCGTGGATCGTTGCTAACCTGAATAGAATGTTCCAGTTCGATCTTGCTATTGAATATTTGGAACGATGGTTATTAATTGAAGAGGCCAGTTTACCTTCAAAAGATCTCTCTATCACTAACGTATTTACTTGGTTCTCACAGGTACAAAAACGTAGGGGCCAATATGAACTAGCTCTTATATATGAACAGAATTGTTTCTTAATGCGTCTCAAAATTTTACCGCCAGATCATGTACATATTGGCAATAGTTTATCCGCCATGGGTGAGATTTACGAAGATCTTCATAACTCTACGTTGGCACTTGATTACTATCAACAAGCATTAGTTATTTACAGAAAATGTTTGCCCTCCTGGCACAGTAGTGTATGGAGGACGCAATTGAATATTGAACGGCTCTCGGAAGAACTTGGAATAGAACTTGATTGATCAGATTGACTTTTCAAATATCTTGATAAGAATATCGGAAACTAATTATTGCATATATGTATATTTTTTCTTATGGAAAAATAAAGTCATTTAGAACACATTATTGTTTCATCGATGGTCTAAGAATAAAATGAAATACAACTCAACTAGATCAATAGAACGTAAAAGCATTCCATGTCATTGTTTAGGGTAGACGAAAAAAGTTTTGAAGCCATTTCAGATGAGTCTTTGACAGCAAATATACTAAATAATTGAAATAAAGATTCATCTTCAGCTAATGTTTTAAGAGGGAAGTCAATTTTTTGATAGATCAGTCATGGATTCATACAAAAATAATATCTATGTGAATAGGGAAGGACGAACAACAGTACAAGCGATATATTTGCCACGATGTGGGTGTGACTCGTGTCAACGCCCACATCACGCATCCACACCAACGCCTACACTCTCGTTAATAATGAAGATGCAACGCTACAGTAAAGTAATTGAGTAAAGTGTTTTTTGTTAAATTGGTAATCTTTATTTTATTTCCTGTAGCGTAAGAAGCGAATACGTGAATTCAACAAATAGTATAAACTCATCCTCAAACACAAAAAATAACATTGTCATCCAAAAGAACATTGAGAATCTTTCATTCAGTATTCTTGTGGATGTGGGTGTGGGGTGAGTGTGGTGTGGGTGTAGCCATAGGCAAAGAGAGATTCCTTACCTTCATGTAGCCACTCACACCGACACAACCAAACACAAGTCCACACTCATACCCAAACCCACTCACACCCACACCAATATAATCTACCCACCTATTTCTTTTTGTGCTCCACTTGGTTTTTACATGTCCTCATGTTTTGTGGAACTCACATATATTTTTGAAGAAAATAATGAGTGTAAGTTTTAAGGTCAAGTTTTCGCGGTTCCCCACCCCTCCCCCCTCTCCATTACAGATACCATAGCAACCGAAGGTCCATTACAGACACTTAGCAACGTAGGTCCTCATTACAGATCGCCCCCTCCCCCCCTATTACAGGCCTTAGCAACCAATAGTAAAAGGTATCAGATTTTCGAGTGTTTTTTTTTGAAAAATTGATCAAGTTATAATTTTGAAAAATAATGAATATCATTATTTGTGATTTGATTAATATATATGATAGTGTTTAAGATCTGCTGTAGGTATCATAGATATGTAAAACACACTTATTTGTCAAGTAGTTCAATGATTATCATAATAAGAATGTTAAATTAAGAAAAACGAATTTAAAAAAATGAAAAATAATGAGCGAATAGCAACAATGCAAACAAACAAATAGGTGCTCGTAGAGAAAAATGAAAAAATTCTGTTCGAAATGGAGAAATTAGAGAAGTCATTATTCTAGATATCGATCACCCTGCAAGACAACTATAGTCTACTAGAGATTTATCACTTTACGTATTTTGTATTAGTTTAATGAGACTAGAATGTATATGTACCCATGTCCTGAAAATCGTTGAAAAATTGGCGATTAATCGTGATATATAGAAACGATAATCATGAGCTGAAACGCGATTAATCACCGATTTTTAATGATATTTTTAGTGATTCTTACGATAAATCGCGAGTTGTTTTCCGATTTTTTACATATTAACTATCGCTTTATCGCCAATCTGATCTGGTATTATCGCGATTTCAGAGGAATTTTATTTATTTTTTTAACTCCATCTATTGTTTAAATTTATTTTTATTTAAAAAACATTTATCATTTTGATCACGCTTAAATTAAAAGTAAAAAAGAAAACGAAAAAAATTAGATGGTTACCTTTTCATTTTTCACATAATTCTCCCGTGAAGTCCCACAAAAAAATAGAAAAAAAGGAAATGTTAAAATACCTATGTACTACGGTAGATGACAAAAAGAAACGTAGAAAACATGAATAACNGAAATGATCGATGCATGTCGTTCCTACTATCGAGACAATATCAAAGAATTAAACACGATTAAGAAGTTTGAAAATAAATATCGATCAGAGGAAGCACTTCGATGGTATTTGAAAAAATCATTTCTCTCCAAAATCATTAATAAAGCACTGAAAATCAAAGATGTCGATCAGCTCTACACATTTCGATATTTTATGAAAGATCTAACGGAATGTCTCGTTCGAGAACATCAAAAACTGATTCAATCTGGTAAAGAAAAATTAATTGTCTATCGAGGAATGAAGTTGTCACGAGATCAAATCGAAAAATTGAAAGAAAGCGAAGGTCAATTGTTTTCAATCAATGGTATTTTCACAACAAGTAGTCTTCATTCAACTGCATTAAATCAAATGATGAGACATTCGAAACAAACTAATCTTTGTTCTGTTCTCTTAGAAATTCAATGCGATATGAAACATCTGAGCAACAATGTCATTATTGCTGATCTATGTGAAGAAGAACAAGAAACTCTGTTCAATTCAAATGTCACTTTTCGATTGGAGACTATGAGAATGGAGGAAGAAGTTTGCTTGATTCAAATGACTGTTTCGAATGAAGGTCAAATTATTAAAGAAAAATACATTAAAGACTCTCGTCGTCAAATAAAAGATCTCAGTGTTAACATTCTCTTTGGACGATTGATGTGTGATATGGGTCTATGGAATCAATCACAACGTTTCTTAGAACGTTTATTGAACAGCTCGAATAGCAATAATGAAGATCTGGCAAAGATTGAATATAGTCTTGGTAATGTGCATCAATGGAAAGGAGAATGGAAAGAAGCACGAAAATATTATGATTGGGCTCATGATAGAATAAAAAGTATCAAACCACTACGGATCCAAGATTCCGTTTATGTACTCTTTAATATTGGTGAGATTCTCTATCTAGAAGGAAAGCATGGTGAAGCTCGTGATTATTATGGAAGAGCATTGGGTATTCTAAAAACAAATTATTCTTCTATCACGGTCGATACACCTTCCTCATTAAATCATCAACTCATCAGTGTACTGAGCCGTGTTCTCTCATCGTTCTTGTCGATTTTATCGAGTTTGGGTGGATTCTTTCGATCTTGCTTCAGATGGTTTTGCGCTGGAAAAATTCTCGGAATTATTTATTGGTTTCGTCCGAAATATGCAGCAAACCGAATCGAACTTGTTGACAAACAGTCAAGCCAAACTCAGCTACAAGAAATATGTCGAAACGTACGAGAAATAGACTGGTTACAAACGAGAGAAGTTAACTCAGATGATCATTTGCTTATTGCTACTATTCTCCGCAATTTTGGCCAGATTTTTGACCGACAAGAAAGACATGAACAAGCACTTTGCTTTCATCAACAAGCACTGACAATGCTTGAGGAATATTATCGATTTCCTCATATCGATATCGCTACTAGTCTTTACTATGCTGGTGCAAGTTTTAAATGTCAAAAAAAGTATGATCAAGCGCTTGATTTCTGTCAACGAGCAATGTCAATCTATAGTAGATATTATCCAAATGGTCATGTATACATTGCTTGGACCCTCAGTGACATCGGTCACATTTTATACCTCCAAGGTAAGCATGATGAATCTCTAAAGATTTTTGAACAAGTATTACCAATGCTACAAAAATATTATCCATCGGGTCATATCAATACAGTTGGTAGTCTTTGCGGAATAGGAAATGTTCACTATGGACAAGGAAAATATGATAAAGCTCTAATATGTCATGAACAAGTGCTGGAAATTTTACACAAATATCATTTTTCGGGGCATGACGACATTATTTGTACTCTAAACAATATTGGTTATATAGAAAGGAAGCAAGGAAACTATGATGAAGCTCTCAATTTTCACCGACGAGCATTGGAAATGCAGGAGAAATATTATCCATCTTATTATGCTAGCATTGCTACCACTCTCAACTACATATGTAATGTGCTACTTTGCCAATTAAAATATGATGACGCTCTAGGCTATTGTCAACGAGCGTTAACGATGCAAGACAGCTATTATTCTTCGGGTCATGTTTCTATGGCTTCGAGTCTCGGTAACATTGGCAACATTCTATATGAACAAGAAAAATATAATGACGCTCTGGATTTTCATCAACGAGCACTCACCACTATCGAACAACACACACCATCTGATTATTCTTCTATTGCTTTTTACATGAACAACATCGGAATTATATTATGCAAGCAAGAAAAACATGATCAAGCTCTTGACTATCATCGACGAGCACTCGACATACAAGAAAAATATTGTCCATCGTACCAAGGTGATATTGCTAATAATTTCAATTACATTGGTAATGTTCTCTTTGCACAGGAGAAATACGTTGAAGCTTTGAAGTCATATCAACGTGCACTTGAAATACAAAAGAACTATTATCGAAATGATCATATGAACATGACGATAATCCTAAATAATATTGGCAAAACATTTCAAAAACAAAAAAAAGTCGATGAATCAATTGAATACTATGAAAAGGCATTAGAAATTCAAAAGAAATATTATCCATCAGGTAGTATCACCATAGCTAATACCATCAATCGTATCGGTCATTTTCTGTACAATGAACAGAAATATGATGCAGCAATTTACTATTATCGACGTGCACTTTCGATGCAAGAAAATCTCTATCTTGATGATTACATTGAAATTTCTCATACTCTCAGCTTCATTGGTAACACTCTATATGAACAAAAAAAGTACGATGAAGCTCTTCAAGTTCATCACAAAGCATTGGCTATTCAACAAAAACATCATGAATTTCCATATGTCGACATTGCGAATACTCTGAGTCGTATTGGCGATATTCTAGATTGGCAAAAGAAATATGATGAAGCTATTGAATTCTATCAACAAGCATTAACAGTTCGAGAGAAATTCGATACAACTAATCATGTTGGTATTGCTAATTGTATAAAAAATATTGCAAACATCCTAACCGATCAAGGAAAGTACGAAGAAGCAATTGAGTTCCAACAAAGAGCATTGACAATTCAAGAAGAAAAATATTCGTCTTGTCATGAGGAAATTGCAACAAGTCTGATGCATATTGGTGACATTCATTTTGATCAAAGAAAATACAATTTAGCTGTCGACTATTATAGACGAGCTTTAGTCATTCTTGAAAAGTGTTATCCATCGGGTCATGTTGATATTGGTAAGTGTCAGGCATGTCTTGGTATCACGCTATATAAGCAAGCAAAATATGATGAAGCTTTCGACTTCTGTCAACGAGCTATAACAATCTATGAGCAATATTATCCATCTGGTCATGTAAACCTTGCAAATTGTCAAGGCTTCATTGGTAATATATTGAGCGATCAAGGAAAATATGATGAAGCTCTTGATTTTTATCACCAAGCACTGACATTTTACAAGAATGATCCATTGAATCATTCGAATACGGTTACTTGTCTGAACAATATAGCTAGGACATTAAAAGATCAAGGACAATATGATGAGGCTGTCGATTTTCAACAGCAAGCATTGACAATGCTTAAAAGTAACACACCTAATGATCAATTCAAAATCGCTATCAATCTCAAAGAAATCGCTGTTACACTATTTCAGCAAACAAAATATGATGAATCTCTCGACTTTTGTCAACAAGCATTAATCATACTAGAAGAATATTGTCCCAATG